GGGAAGATCCCACATGCCGTGGAGCGGCTGGGCCCGTGAGCCATGGCCGCTGAGCCTGCGCGTCTGGAACCTGTGCTCCGGCAACAGGAGAGGCCACAACAGTGAGAGGCCAGCATATCGCAAAAAAAAAAAAAAAAAGGCCTGTGATGGAATTTCTGTAAGCTGAATTATATTTTGAAGGCATGAGGGACTATCTTCACTTACAAGAACCTCATGAGAATTACTTTCAAAAAGCAAAGAATCGTTTTAAGGAGTAGACAGACACTCAACACTTGGTTTGAGCCCCTGGATTTTTATGCCTTTGCTCAAAGTAGGAGTCAGCGTTTTGCCCTTTCACGGGGAGGGGAAAATTGTTCTCTTACATCCATGGAATGCAAAGTTCTTAACAGAGTATAGTAATTAATTATTTCCCAGCTACTTTTACTTCTGCTATACTGAAGGTTGGGGGAAACCATTTCATTAAACAGAATTTAAACAACATGAAAAAGTTACTCTCTTTGTGCTTTTCCCAGGAAAGGCCTTCTCCAACAGCACTTTTCCAGACAGTTACCAAAGGACAATCCTTGCCAACAGAGACACTCGGTCTCTAAGTCTGGCTTTTGGAAAATGAGTGTGTATTTTTATTTATTTATTTTTCCTAAACAGGACACTGTGAGTTCAGTCATGTACACTATGAAAATAATTGGTGTGTGTTAGTACGCCTTGTTCCAGATTTCATGCTTGTTGAAAGGTGATTGGATTCAAACCAGCAGATTTAAAGGTCAGCTGGTTGTTCTTAAACAGTGCAGAACTTTAACTCTTTTGTTGTCATGGATTTTAACCAAATGGCCATTTTAGGAAGGAGGAGAGACTGCATACTGTGTTCTGACATTTTGTCCTTAATTTTTTTAAAGTTCTCAGGGCTTTCTTGAGGATGAAAAGGGTCTGAGAAAGGACTTCTCAACTGGCATTTGGAAATGGGTGGGAGGAGAGACTTAGTTCTTTTTAAACTACTAAATTTAGATCAGGGCTGTACCAGGAGAGTGGACATCACATAAGCAATATCTAAATGTCAGGCTGAAAGGTCTCTCTCTGTCTTTTTCAATAAGTATTTCAAATTTGCTGGTAAGAGCCAGTGATGGACTCTGTCTCTTATCTTCCCACCTTTTGAGTGATTTCTTTCTTTTTTTTTTTTTTTAAGTTCCTTGAAAAGTTTGGTGGAGAAACCACAATCTAATCATCAATATTTAACCCAGCTGTTTGACGATGTTAGCTCCATTTCTGAAGCAGGTATTTCACTGGGCTTTGGGATTTTGATGACCTTTTTCCTCAGTGATTTTGGTTGTGTGGGTTAAATGGTTTATTTTGTTGATCTTCAAAATACCTTCTGCCTACCAGTCTTTTTTCTGGGTTTCCCAAAATTAGGTAGGGGACTGACCTGTCTCTAATCAGTAGGGTGAATTGTAGTCAGCTGATGCTAAGGCTTCTTGTTTTTTTGGAATAGTGTCCTGGTGAATCCCTGGAAACTGTTCAACATTTCATTATGAGGACCCCAGTTTGGAAGCTATAAAAGCAGTATCTTTCTTAAAGGAAAAAAAACCCCACCTCTCTGAGATTGACATTGGACACTTCCACATATGCCGCACAAAAGTCGACAGGTAAAGGCAGCTGGAGTCCAAGCGTCTATCTACCTAGACTGCGTATGAACTCGTATAACTAACAAAAGGCAAACTAAAGTTACCCTGAAAAATCAGAGTCCCACTTTGTCAAGCAGATACTCAATATTCTCTTTTTTCTTGGTTACTTCAAAGTTCACTCTTAGTTCTTTTCTTTCTATGTTCTCCACAACTTTATAGCTGTGAGACCATGTGCTAGTTGCTTAAAAACTCTGTGCCCCATTTACCTCACCTGCAAAATGGGGAAAACATTACCTACCTCAGTGTTACTGTGAAAATTTAATGAGTTAATTCATGTAAGATGCTTGGAACAATGCCTGGAATAAAACAAGGCTCAACAAATACTCTCATTATCATCATTTTTTGCTGTAATTCTTATCTCTTTCACCAATTGCTGTGCCATGTGGAGATGTTTCCTCTGGTTGACGATTCTTCTGCTTGAGGTAGTACAAGCCTAGGAGTTCAGGTTAAAGCTGCTCTCCGTTTCATGTCTTAACACCCCAATCTTTTTTGCTTAAACCCCAGCTGAGGTTGGCTTGGAGACATCCTGTGGGAGACGATGGTCCTAAACCAGAGAGCTGGGGGAACAAATTGGTAGGGTGGATCTTGAGGGAAAAGATGGAGAGCCAGACATGGTGACAGTTCAGCCACTGAGGGAGAGTCTGGGAGACCAAAGCAGGTAAAAAGCAAAAGTACAGCTTGGGGATGCTTTCAGAAAGGGACCAGGATATTGTAAAGCAGCTCTACCTCAATAAAAAAATAAATAAAAATAAAATTAAATTAAATGGTTAATTCTAGGAAAGAACAATGGAATGGGGAAGAAGGAGATAATGTTTGCTTTTTTAGTTTGTGCATGTTTGTAATATCGGAATTCATTAAAAGAGAACATGTATTTGTTGTATAATTAAAACATTAATCACTAAGAAAAGTGTAAAAAAAAGAAAAGAAAAGAAAGGGACCAGGAGATGGGAGCCAGGAGGAGGCCCAGAGAAATGCCTTCTCAGACAGCTGTCCTTTATCTTTAGTCACTGCCTCTGCAGCACCTTGTGCCCCTTCCAATAAGTTCCCTGAGCCACTGATATCCTCCAGGGGCCAATGCTCAGTGTTCTTGAACATCCTCTTTCAAAGGCTCCGGCTGGGCTCTGGCTACCTGCATTTCACTGTTGTTCTCATATTCTTCCCTAATTAACTCATGCATAACGTCCAGTTTTCACCATTAACTCTCATTCAATTCTATCACATAGGTAGCAATCCCAAAGCTAAGGTTTACATCTGAGCTAAAGTGAAAATGACACAGCTGCAAAATACCTGGCACAGTAAGTACCAGGTGTTATAACATGTAATGACACTTTGAATTCTGGTGGAAAATAGTTCCCAGAGCATAGTTTTTCAAATATTTTTGACTGCAATCAACAAGAATAAACAGATTTTACATCACAGGCTCTATATACACATACATATATTTGTGTGTGTGTGTATAACTTAAGCAAAAGTAAAAATCGTGAAATGATGCTTAATCTTACCGTGCAAGCTCCACTTTGATGATTTCTATCTGATTGAAAGTAAGGCTGTTTGTAACCCACTAAACACATAGCCTGCAATTTGGGAAAACTTGATCTGGAGTACCGTCCAGCAATTGCCTTTTGAGCGCTTATATGTTAACCACATATCATACATGAAGGAGGATTGTGGCCATCTGTTACATTTTCAGGGATTTTCTTCTTATCTTAAACAAACAAAAAGGGAAATGTGGGTCAAGAACTGGCATGTTATCTGCAAAACATAATTTCTCCTTTCCCTCATACTCTTTCCTAATAACTATTCTCCCTTAATTCCCCCGAAATTTAGGAAACATTTATGAGAGAAATTAAAGAAGATCTAAATAAATGGAGGACTATACTGTGCTCATGGATGGAAAGATTTTATATAGATATCTGTATGTCATAATGATGTCAGTTCTTCCATAAAGAGGTCAATAATATCACAATCAAAATGCCAGCAGTCTTTATTTTCTTAATGGAGGTTCACATTCTTATTTAAAATTTTATATGGAAATAAAGTTAGCTAAGTTAGCTAAGAATAGTCAATAGAGCTCTAAAGAAAAAGAACAAAGAGTAAGACTTAACTCTCAGATATTAATACTTGTAAAGCACGTAATTAAGACAGTGCAGTATTGATACAAAGATAGAAAAATTACCCTGAATAGCAGTTTTATACATCTTTTGTTAGATGTATTTCTTTTCTTTTTTTAATGTGGTTGTTATATTTTATTTTCCAAGTAATACTGATTAAAAATATTTACACACCTACTTTTAAGTCCACAGTTTAGCACTCTTATTTGTATGGCTTTAAAAGTTATAGCACAAGATCTTTACATTAAGGATTGGGGAAAAAGATTCATTCAAAACAAAGCCTGATATATTATATACATGTTTTTTCTCTGTACTTTATTTTAAATAGATTAATTTTTAAGTGATGCTCATCTTTTTTTTCATCTGGTGGTAAAATACTAGTGCAACTTTTCATCAAAATAAAGTTTACCACAGATATAAGTGAATTTTCCCAATTGAAAATGGCCCTTCAGCAGCCACTGAATGAAATTTCTCAATCTAACTGAAGTGAAAAAGAACTGGTAGCTGTCACTGTAAGGAAAATACCGAGTGCTATAGCATGACCTACATTGCTCCTTGCAACACAAACTCTGAAAGACCCAGAGGCGCTTTACAGAAGTTTAGTTGAATTTGAAAAGGCACATGGGTGTGGTTGGTTTTTAAACATTCTAGAAATTTGCCGCCACCACCACCACCGTTTCTGTTGCAGAGATGACATCTGTGACTGTCAGGGTAGACAAGAGTGTTGTTCAAGCTAAAGAAAGCCAGAAGCCAAAATTTAACTGCACAGTAACAATGCACTTTTCTTCATGCAGCCTTTTGTTTCCTATATATTCAAATATTCTAACATGCATTAGAATACATAAACTTGTATTCTAATGATTTTATGTTTGATTTTACAATATGGGGAAAAAAAAACTTGAGGAAGGACATAACTGGACAAAGAGAGAAGGGAGAACCCTTACCACATGAAAATAGATACATTCGTACCCAACTATATAGTAAGAATATAATCCATTTCAGTTTTCCAGAAATATACTTCTCAAAGCTTCCCATTCACTTATGGGAAAGATCCCTCCTCTGTGGCATCAAGTGGGGGAAAATCAGTTTGTTTCAATAGAAGCAGTTCAACACAACAGGAAAGAGCTTAACTTTGGTCCACATGTCTGTTAGCTTAAGGACAGTCACACTGCCCATCATCAGTTCAAAAACTCAACATATAAACTTAAAAATATATTCATTTGTTATTTCATTCTAAAACTGGCATAGGTGTTCTGTTCTCATTTTCTGACTTTTCAGCTTGGGAATCCACTGTTGAGTTGGTCTCTAAACCCTCAGCATCTTCGTGATCTTCTCTGGCCGCCGCAGCAGCATCTGCTTGGGTAGGCTCTCTCTCCTCTTGGTTCATGATTTCAGGGGTCCCTTGATCCAAGTCTGCTTCTAGAAGCTCAGTGTGTACTTCCATTGGCATCTGATTTACCCGTTCAACATGCAGCTCCTCTACATGTACTTCGGTACCTTCTTCTGTCTGAATTCGACCCACTTCCAGATAACTTACCTGGACCTGTTCTGGAAGCTCGTTCATATGTGAATCGTGCACTTGGCTGTCCTGGAGCAGATCTGGGTGGACCTGTTCCACAGTCACTTGTGCCGAATCCACTTGAACCTGAAGCAATGGTAACACGTGCACCTTCCCAACTTGTTCTATAATAGTCATTGATGTCACAGGTTCAGTTTGCACACGTGTTTCTACTGAAAGAACTTCTTCAGTTACGAGACGCTCTGAAATATTATGAGCATCACTGAGATGCCTTCTTAATTCATTTCCTTGCATAAACCACAAGTCACACAAAGTACAATGGTTGGGTTTATCTCCAGTGTGTATTACCAAGTGATCTTTGAACTGGTCCCAGCTGTTAAACACACTATTACAGACCTGACATTCATAAAGCTTCTTTCTTCCCTTTTTTGCCCCCACTCCAGTTTGGCATGCAGTCAGGTGACATTTGAGGGTGCTATTTCTAGCAAATCGTTCATGACAATTTGGACATTCAAAAGGTTTTTCACCTGTATGCTTTCGAAGATGCTCTTTAAAATGTCGAAAGTGGTCAAACTGTTTCTCACGGTACTGACATATGTGAATTTTTTTCCCAGTTCTTTGCTTCTTACTGACTCCACCTTCTTCAAGGTGGTAACAATTGAGGTGCTGTTTCCATGCGCTCTCCTGAAGATACCTTTTATTGAATATTTCACACTTGAAACTCTCAGAGGAGTGTGATTTCATGTGTTCCTTAAAATGGTAAAACAATTTAAATGAACGGTTACATTTCTCACAGTGGAACAAATCCTTCACATGTGACAGCTGAAGTTCCACAATTTCAATACCTTCTACCTGTTTGCTTGTGGGGTCAGAGGCACAGCCATCTTCATCTTTAATCTGCCCTTTTCTATCACCTTGACGGTACTTGCTGGTGATATCTGCCAATAATGCCAGAGCGGAATCATCAGAGGAACCTGTGCTCTGAATATACTTTATGGACTGCCTGGCAGTAGCCACATCCTCTAACGTTTCAATGCCTTCATCTTCCACTTCGATTGTGCCGTTAGCAATCTCCACCTCGATTTCAACAGGTTCAGATTCTGCAGACGGCAATGACTCAGTGATAACGTTTGAAGTTTCTGCAATCTTTCTTTTTTTTGCTTCACTTTTTCCTGTGATAGTTTCCTCTAGTGGAGCTGAGTTTTCTTTGTTCCTGACTTCAAGGGCTTTGATAGCTTCTAGCATTTGTAGAAACTCTGCTGCTTTCCATACATCGTTGGCTTCTTCTTCTCCTTGTATCATTAATTTTGCTGTATATGTGAACTCAATCAAATGACGAAAGGCCATTTTACTAACATCTTCTATCTCCACCAAAGGTTCCTGAGTAAACTCCTGAAAGAATTTGTAAAAGAACTTGCTGCAAGCAGCCAAAACAGCCTTGTGGGCCTTAAAATGGTGTCCGTCGACAATCAGGGTGATGTCAGTAAACCGGTCCTGCTCTCGCTGTTCATTCAATCGGTCCAGGATCATTTTATGATGTTCAGGGAACTCCTGAAGGCATTCCATCGTCTCTTCGGCCTCCGTGGCCACCGGGTTGTTCTAGCTCACGATCCTCCCTCTCTCCTTTCCGTCCCGAAAGCCTTACCTTCTCTACTCTCCCCTCTCGGGGCGTAACTCGCCCCACACTTTTCCCTAACCCTGAACAGCGCCTCACCCGCCATTTCCTCGCGAGTGCCCGGGTGCTCCCTCTGCTTGGGTCCGGCTGGCGCACGTGGGCTCGCTCCGAGACGCGGACGGCTGCGGCGTGGGCGGCGGCGGCGGCCACCTGTTAGATGTATTTCTATGTATTTGGTATTTTTGATGCTGTTGCAAGTTATATTATTTTGTAAATTTCAATCTCTGTTGCTCATATCAGAAAAACAATTGATTTTTCTAGCCAGAACTTGTTAACCTTCCTGATTAATTCAAATACTTTATAGATTCTTTTGAATAACACAATCATGTGGTCTAAAAGTATTGATAATTTTATTTACTCTTTTCTAATTCTTTGCCTTCTTTTGGTCTTATTACCCTGGCTAGGCTTTCCAGTACAGTGTCAAATAGAAGTGGGGATAGCAAATATCTTTTTTTTTCCTGATCTCAGAGGAAAAGTTTTCAACATTTCAGTGTTAAAAGTGTTGTTTGGTGTGGTGTTTTAAAATTTGTTTTTGTAAATATTCTTTATTAGATTAATAGATGTTAAATTTTATCAAATGCTTTCTCTCAATCTATTAAGATGATAGAGATTTCTCTTTCATTCTGTTAGTCTGGTTAACTACACTGAATTGATATTTTAAAATGTTAAACCAACCTTGTGTTCTGGGAATAAGCTGAAGTCAGCTACGGTGTGCCACATTATTACTGGATTCAGTTTATTAATATTTTATTTAAGATTTTTACATTTATTATATGAGAGACTCTGACCTGAACTTTCTTTTCTTTTAATAACTTTGTCAGGTTTTGATATTAAGGTTATGCTGACCTCATAATATGAGTTGAGGAGTAGATATTGGTTATTTGTCTCTTTTCTTGTCTTATTTCCTTTTTAATCCATCCTACCAGGGGGTTATCAAATTTCTTTTTACCATCTTACCAGTCTTCTCAAGTAACAATCTGTTGGCTTGGTTGATATTCTCTGTTGTATTAAAATTTTTCCCATTAATTTTATTCTTTTATCATTTCCTTCCTTTTCTTTTGGTTTAATTTGCTATTCTTGTATATCTTCTTGACATAGAACCTAAGATAATTGATTTTTTTAAGCTTTTTTTCCCCCTCACCTAATATCTACAAATAAATATTCCTCAAAGATCAAGTTTAACTATTTAATGAATTTTCCTTTGTAGGATTTTCATTTTTATTTAGTTCAAAATATTTTTTAATTTCCACTGAAGTTTTCTTTGACCTATGTGTTCTTTATAAATATATTACTTAATTTCCAAATATATGGGGATTTTCTAGTTATCTTTTTGTTATTGGCTTCTGCTTTAGTCACTTAAAAAAGAAAACAGCAGTTTCTTGGTATCTGTGGGGAGATTGGTTCCAGGACCCCCAGCAGATAACAAAATCCGTGGATGCTCAAGTCCCTTAGGTAAAGTGGCATAGTACACAGTAGGCCCTCCATACCTGCCATTTGCAGAGCCAGCTGTGTATATTCTGCTGTTATAAGGGTTGTGTTTTATATAAGTTAATTAAATAAAGTTTTTGAATCATGCTTTTCATATTTTCTCTGTAATTGCTAATTATTTTTCTGTTTATTACATCTGTTACAAGAAGGGTATGTGAAAATGTCTCATCATGATTTGTGGATTTACCATTTTTTCTTTTAATTCTGCCAATTTTTACGTTAAAAATCTTGAGGCTATTAATCACATATAGAACTGTTACATCTTCTTTGCAAATTGAACCCCATCGTTATGAAAAATTCCTTTCTCTCAGCTACATCTTATTGTCTTAAAACCTATCTTGTCTGATATGAATATGGCTACCTCAGCTGTGTTTTGGGATAGTTTCTGCATAGTGACTTTTCCTCATTTTTCCACCTTCAGTCTTTCCAATATTCTTAAATTTAAGGAATCTCTTATAAGCGCATACAGTTTTTGTTTAATCCAGTCTAGCAATTTTGTCTTTTAATTGAAATATTTAATCTGTTTATGTTTCATGTAATTATTGATACATTTGGGTTTAAATCTATCATCTTAATACTTGCCACCCATTTGTGCCATCTTTCTGTCCCCCTTTTACTTTCTTTTTGTTTGAAGTTTTAAAAAATTAGTATTTTTATCCACCTTTCCTCATCTGTTGGCTTGGTAGTTATACAGTCCTTTCTATACTTTTGGCAGTTAACAAAAATTATCACGTGCATCACTTACTTATTAAAGCCTAAGATGAATGAATACTTTTGCCATTTCCTGGACAATTCACAGAAATTAAGATACTCTAATTTCAGTCCCCTGCTCCTAACTTATAGTGTGCTCTTGTTTAAGTGTTCTAATATCATATCTATATTTAAACTACTCAGGATATTATTATGGAATAAATTATTATTGAATACATTAGGTATGCATTTAGATTTATCCACATATAACCCCTTTTTTGGGCTCTTCATTTTTTTTCTCCCAATCCTTCATTTATGAACACTTCCTTTCTCCCTGAAGAGTACATGTAATGTTTCACTGAGGACATGCCTGCTGCTGAGGAATCTGTTGGTTTTTGTTTTTCAGAGCGTGTCTTTACTTAGCCTTTGTTTCTGAAAGATATTTTTACTGGGTATAGAATTTTAGGCCGACAGTTATTTTTTTTCCAGCATTTTGAAGATATCCCATTGTTTTCTGCTTTCACTGTCATCCAGTGTCTTCCAGATCTTATCTGGATAGGTAGAAATAACACTAGGCATGCAAACTTTTAACCCGAAGGCTAAATAAAAATGCATCTATGAATTCGTAGCTCTATTTTTTATGGAATTTTGCAAAAGTGCATATGCATATGTCTTGCTCAAATCACTTTCACAGTCTCAGAGCAGCTCATTTTGTAAGAAACACCCATAATACTATTCCATATCCTTTTCTTTTTAAAATTTTTTTATTTATTTATAACATCTTTATTGGAGTATAATTGCTTTACAATGTTGTGTTAGTTTCTGCTGTATAACAAAGTGAATCAGCTCTACATATACATATATCCCCACATCCCCTCCCTCTTGCATCTCCCTCCCACCCTCCCTATCCCACCCCTCTAGGTGGCCACAAAGCATGGAGCTGATTCCGGTGTGCTATGCGGCTGCTTCCCACTAGCTTTCAATTTTACATGTGGTAGTGTATATATGTCCATGCCACTCTCTCACTTCGTCCCAGCTTACCCTTCCCCTCCCTGTCATATCCTTTTCATTTATGATGTCAGTCCACATAGGTCTGCCTTGAATTAGCATTCCTGATCATTTACAATTAATTTTACATGGCTGTTTGTTAGCTGTGTCTCACTGAATATTTTCATTTTTGGATATCTCTTGTTGGAAAAATAGCTAAATGTGAAGCCTCCTTACTGAGAATATTGTGTCTGTAATTGTATATTTACTTATGACTTATTTCTTCACCTAGAAAAGTATTTTGGCTACAATATTAACTTCTTTTGGCATTAATATTGTGCGTGAACTATGAACTAAACCCTTACTTTCAAAATATTTTTTCCTATACTAAAATCCACTACAATATAATGTAGCACTTAAGAATATGAGTTTTACAGTAGCAAAGATCAATAAAACTAAAAGCTGGTTCTTTGAGAAGATAAACAAAACTGATAAACCATTGGCCAGGCTCATCAAGAAAAAGAGGGAGAGCACTCAAATCAATAAAATTAGAAATGAAAAAGGAGAAGTTACAACAGACACCACAGAAATACAAAGCAACCTAAGAGACTACGACAAGCAACTCTATGCCAATAAAATGGACAACCTGGAAGAAATGGACAAATTCTTACAAAGGTATAACCTTCCAAGACTGAACCAGGAAGAAAGAGAAAATATGAACAGACCAATCACAAGCAATGAAATTGAAACTGTGATTAAAACTCTTCCAACAAACAAAAGTCCAGGACCAGATGGCTTCACAGGTGAATTCTATCAAACATTTAGAGAAGGGCTAACACCAAGCCTTCTCAAACTCTTCCAAAAAATTGCAGAGGAAGGAACACTCCCAAACTCATTCTCAAGGCCACCATCACCCTGATACCAAAACCAGGCAAAGATACTACAAAAAAAGAAAATTACAGACCATTATCACTCATGATTATAGATGCAAAAATCCTCAACAAAATACTAGCAAACAGAATCCAACAACACATTAAAAGGACCATACACCATGATCAAGTGGGATTTATCCCAGGGATGCAAGGATTCTTCAATATACGCAAATCAATCAGTGTGATACAGCATATTAACAAATTGAAGAATAAAAACCATATGATCATTTCAATAGATGCAGAAAAAGCTTTTGACAAAACTCAACACCGACTGATGATCAAAACTTTCCAGAAATTGGGCATAGAGGGAACCTATCTCAACATAATAAAGGCCATATACGACAAACCCACAGCAAACATCAGTCTCAATGGTGAAAAACTGAAAGCATTTCCTCTAAGATCAGGAAAAAGACAAGGATGTCCACTCTCACCGCTGTTATTCAACACAGTTATGGAAGTCCTAGTCATGGCAATCAGAGACGAAAAAGAAATAAAAGTAATCCAAATTGGAAAAGAAGAAGTAAAACTGTCACTGTTTGCAGATGACAAGATACTATACATAGAGAACCCTAAAGATGCCACCAGAAAACTACTAGAGCTAATCAATGAATTTGGTAAAGTTGCAGGATACAAAATTAATGCACAGAAATCTCTTGCATTCCTATACACTGATGATAAAAAATCTGAAAGAGAAATTAAGGAAACACTCCCATTTACCACTGCAACAAAAAGAATAAAATACCTAGGAATAAACCTACCTAGGGAGACAAAAGACCTGTATGCAGAAAACTGTAAGACACTGATGAAAGAAATTAAAGATGATACAAACAGATGGAGAGATATACCATGTTCTTGGATTGGAAGAATCAGTACTGTGAAAGTGACTATACTACCCAAAGCAATCTACAGATTCAGTGCAATGCCTATAAAATTACCAATGGCATTTTTTACAGAACTAGAACAAAAAAATCTTAAAATTTGTATGGAGACGCAACAGACCCCAAATAGCCAAAGCAGTCATGAGCAAAAAAAACGGAGCAGGAGGAA